TCGCTACTACTACTGCTCGACGGCTCTGATGATGATGATGACGATGATGATGATCGGAAGGAGTATGCTCAGATTCTCCTGGTCCTCTCAGATGTTGCCTCCTCTGCTGAGCTCTGACTACCACTATTTGAGGCCTCCGATGCTGATGAGCTGAGAAGGGCAATGCAGGAAGAGGGTCTTAGACGGTACACTACCCCCGAAGAGGAGGCGTGCTCTGATGATAGCTCCTTATCCCCACTCTCAGGGCCACCATCAGCACTCTTGGGATGAGCCTTACCACTAGGTGATTTCTTCTTCTTCTTCTTCCTAACAACCAACTAGTTCTACCCTTTGGTCGCTAGGGAAAACATTCAACTGTATTAGAATCGATGTAGACACATGTAGTCACACACATGGCAATCGTCACTACCAGTGTTGGAATATATATGTTTGGTTTCCTCAACTGCACTCGTAAGTTTCCTTACTACATAATGGAGATCTACACACAGTTTAGAGTACAATTGTACCAAAACCAACGATAATTTCCCCAAATTTTCTCAAAATTTTCTCGAAATTCTATATTTTCCACCAACACATGTAGTTGACCCTGTGCGAACATATGCTCACACTGGTCACAACATACGGACCTCGTTTTCTTATTATCATCCTCCTTCCTTTTCCCCTTTTCTTTCCTTTTCTTCTCCCTTTCCTTCTCCTTCCTCCTCCTATTCTCTATACGTTTCTCCTTTTTCTCTTCCTTCAACGCCCCAAACCTCCGCTTCCGTCCCGGGTCCAGAACTGGATGTCTGTGTCTAGGTCGCGGCCTCAGCTTCAATGGGAGATACCCCAGTGCTTCTTCTGGACACGTCGGTACGGCGGGTACCACACGCACATCTGCATAACATCATGCCAGGATAAGCCTAGAGGGGAAGGGAGTCCTCGAAACGTGGCTCAGAAGCCTTGTGCTCTCAGGTGAGGCCACGTTTGCGTTCAAAACACCTCCTCTAGAGCGTGCACATGTATAGGTGACATTTGTGGGAATATTGAGGAAATTCCCATTGGTTTCTGTACTCTTCCAGCCGAATTTGTATGTAAACTTCTGTAATTAGCGAGGAAACTTCTAGACTCAGCTGAGGAATACGAAAAGTTATTCCAACACCGCTCTACCCCAGTGATTTTGCTGGTGTATGGAGTCGATTTACCAGAAACAGTGATAGACCGAGCCACTCTAAACACAGTGAAGGTCACTATCAAAATGACCCTCACGATGAAGGCAATGCATAGGGTATAAACAATGTACCGATAGGGGAACTCAGTAAATGTTTTACACAAGCGTCTGTCCCAGCCTTAGATTCTTCCTGAACTCGGCCCCCCTTCCTAGCCTAGTGTAAGCCGTTTGATGGCGCCATTTCATGTGCGCCGGGGCTTCCAGTTGTGCTTCACCTCACAAGTCGTTTCACAATCTCAGACTAGAGTCAAGCTCAACGGGGTCTTCTTTTACTGTGTTGAGGATGAGCTCAGGATTTCCTCTCGAGTATTCTACTTCAGCGGAAATAAATTCCAAGTTTCATAATTATTTCATCACTGAGTACTTCGATAGTGATCACACTACGATTCTCATCCTACTATGCATGGTTGTAATAATACTGCATAAAGAACTCGAATGCTAATACTGACTCGACGAAGTCGGCAAATATTTCGAGCCGTGCAGCATTTCATCGGTAGGGGACATTTCAGCTCGTGTGATGTGGGAGATTGCCCCTTCCTCTATTACAAGCAGCTGTTTCGTCTCCCGAGCTGAGGTCCTCCTCAGCCGTTTGCCTAGGAGGGAGCGTCCTGAATCCGTTTCTAATAGGATCTACCCTTTCACGTCTCATTGGAAGCATATCTAAGGTTGATCAATGTATATTGCGGAGAGAAAGTCAACAACTTCTTCACCATAAAGATTCCCATACATTTGCTTCCTGATGAGCTTATCCTCCTTTCGGAGCTGCTCGGCTGTAGGCGGCTCCTTGCTGTCTAAGAAGAGGTCAACCTCAGGCTGCTGACTCGAAGCAGGCTTGGGGGGTCTCCGAGGGGCTGTTACGACGCCACCCAGTGGCAGCAGGCCCTTGCCACCTCGTCCTTTTCCGAGGGGAGGGGCCCTGAGGGGCATCATCGAACAGGATGCCCACAGACGAGTCGTACCCCTTCTTGGGCGCTGGCTTACCACCACCAGGAGTAGCAGCTACAACACCGCCCTTTCCCTTGCCCTTTCCCTTCCCAATGGTAGCACCTTTCCCTCCCTTTCCACCACCTCTAGTACCAACATTCATCGATTTGTCATAAGGGGCCAAACCTGCGCAGTAACAATCTCGCTACGCCATTCTAATCGATAACTCAAAGTAGATCTTGCGTAGTCGATGATGAGGAAAACTCGTTCGAGTTGAACATGTACTGAATATATCTACATCATAGTCGTGCCGATAGGATCATTAGTAGTGCCCCTCAGTTGACAGTGCTGACCTCATTATGAGTACAGGAGATTCAGCTCTCCAACAGGAAGGGGGCGGCAATCTCAGCATTCAGCTACCAGAACACCACCCTTTACAGCCAGGGGACTTGGCTGACATGTCCCCTCTTCGACACTCCCTCTCTCGATGTGAAAGAAAGCAATCGGTACTGCTGGCGCCGGTGCTGCTGTTGAGGGAAGGCGTATCTTTTTTAGTCGATCAACGTCTTGGGCTTCGACTTGTATGATGCAGTCGAGGTAGAACAGAAAGGCTGGCGAGGCGCCAAGGAGTGGGTACCGGGCACGATCGTACAAGTGAATGCTCATAATAATACATTTGATGTGAAGGTAAGGCTAGCACTACTACTACCACTTCAGAAGAGTAGATGGGAAGCCGTAGGTGTTGAAGCCGAACCAAGAAGGAGAGGTTCTGGAAAATGTTAGCCCAGTGAGGATGAGACGCATCGCAGAGTCAAGGCATCCTCACCAACAGAAAGGTGATGACAGTCCTCAGTGTGAGTAGATTAATATTTTGGTTTTTGTTCGATTTCCGTACCCTCAGTGGGGCCCGTCCCGGGGGATTCGCCAACTCACGATGGACAAGACTTTTTGAAGCAGCGGCATTTGGGAGCAGCTGACGCCTGTGAGATCATGGACGAGTTCAACTTCCAAATGCAGGCCAGTCTGTTCACCTCTAAGGTAGTAGTGTTCGGGTAGTGGCGAGTAACACGTAGGGATGTGGTAGGTGCTCAAGCAGCTTGATTCGGTGCCCGAGTCGGATCTTATGGCGGTGTCGCCTTGTGTCAAGTCTCTGGCACATATCAGAGGTAGTACTGGGGGATGTGTCCACGAGAGGGATGGGAGGCAATGGTGACGTGTGGCGAGTTCTCTTGTGTGATACCTTTCAGAGAGGACGAGGAGTCGTGTGGAGAGTGGGGAAGGTCCTCTTTTGGACCGTTTCTTCTTCCAATGCGATACTGATGCGGCAGCAGGGCAGGCCTCTGGTTTCCCTACTAGTGCGCAAGTGAGCCACGGCTAGTGTCCTTACCGGGGATCGAACCGGGGACCAAT